ATTTTACTGTTTGGAACCGCTTTCTGAGGCGGGGCCTTAGGTCTCCGCAGACGGCCCGGGGTCCCAGGCCCACACAGAGCGAAGGGCCCTGGAGAGGGCACACGGCTGGGGCGAGCTGGGCCTCTCCACACTGGCTGGGGGTCGGGAGGGCATCTCCGGCAGCGGGGTTCGGGACTCTGTCCCCCAGGCAGTGGGAACCTCTGAAGGAGCCCGGGTGGGAGGGCTGCCAAGGTCCCCACCTCCCCACCTGGCCTCAGGCCGTTGTGTAGGCTGGAGACTGAGGCGTGTTGGTAAAAAAAAAAACAACAAAAAACCCGAAAATTGCAGGAGTTTGCATTTACCGAGCTCCCACTCAGTGTGAGGACGACCTCAGCACTTTCTGTGTCCTCCTGCAGCCTCGCCAGAGCCTCCATAAGGAAGCTGCTAGCATGACGCCCATCTTAGAGCTGAAGAAACTGAGGCCCAGGGGGGCCTGTCGCTGACAGACGTGTGATGTGTGCAGGGCACGAACACGGGGCTGTCTGCACTGCCCTCAGCCCCCGCCGCCAACCGATGCCTGTGAAGAAGGCACCACCTGCGGAGGGTGAGCCCAGAGGAGCCCTGCCAAGCCGAGAGTGCGGACCAGCCGGGCTCAGCCAACACAAGAAAGTCTGCGGGCCCCAAGTCTCCTGCGCTTCCTCTGTTTGTTGTGTCGATGTTTTCCTTCAAGCTTCCCCGAGCCTCCAGTTTGGGTGGAGGTGGGCGTGGGGGGCCTGCACACTATCACCCCCGCCACCGCAGCCTGGCTTTGAGGTGAAGGGCAACCCCTAGCTTGAATCCACAGAAACCCTGAGTTCCTCGGGTCTCCACGAAGGTCCCTCCACACCCCCAACCCCAGGCTTCTGGAATAGGCTCATTCATGTGTTCGTTCCCTCACTCAGCACACATGGACCGAGCGTCTTCCCTGTGCCAGGCGCTGGGGACACGGCGGGGAACGATGCCCACAGCGGCCTGCCCTCTTGGAGCTGGCCTCGGGCCGGGAGATGGCCAGTACCTAGAGAAGCAAACGGAGGTGGAGAGGAGGACTGGGCAGGGACACTACCTTTTGAGGGATGTTAGAGACCAGATGGTGCCTCTGAGATGCAGCTGCGGATGGTGGGGTCCTAGCCTGGCTGCTTGCTGAGGGAAAGAGCCTAGGCTCCAGAGATGGCCCGGAGAGGCCAGGAAGGCGGGTGCTGGTTCTGTTCCCAGTTGGGTGGGGAGGAGGGTGATGTTGTAAGTGGAAGAAGCCTCTCTCGGCTGAGCAGCTGAAGCCCAGAGCGGGTACAGGGCTGCCTCCTCCCACGCCTGGGTCCGGGAATGACACCCAGGAGTCCCAGGACCCTCGGCTGGCTCTGAAGGTGGTTCCCAGACCCAAGAGTGACAGGCTGTGGGATTTCACGTGCTCAGGGCTCTGTCCTGCTCAGTACCTCCACCTGCGTGAGTCTCCGAGGGCTGCCACAGCCAATGACCACAGACTGGGTGGCTTAAGACAACAGAAATGTATTCCCTCATGGTTCTGGAGGCCAGAAATCTGAAGTCAAGGTGTCAGGAGGGCTCTGAACGCACGAAGAAGGGAGAGTCTGTTCCACCCGTGCCTTTCTCAGCTTCCCGTGCCACCAGCAGTCACGGCGTGCGTTGGCCTGTAGATGCATCTCTTCAGCCTCTGCTCTGTTGTCACGTGTGTGTACATCTTCGAGTGGGCTTCTTGTAAGGACAGCAGTTACTGTATTAGGCCCCATACTAATCCAATATGACTTTCTCTTAAATTGATTAAATCATAAAAAACCCTACCTCCAAATAAGGTCAGGTTCATGGGTCCCAGGGGTTAGGACTTGAACATATTTGGGGGGAGACACAATTCAACCCACAAGTGCTCACACCCAGGCATGGTCTCAGACAAGGACCCATGTTTCCAGACTAGAGGCGTGAGTCTGGGCTTTCCCCCTAAGACTTCTGCTTCATTCTCACTTCACCTAACCTCTCTGCGGTCCCAGCCACCCAGCCCTCAAAGTGGGGAGACCAAAGTCTTCCTTAAAGGCTGTGGGGAGAATGAATGAGATCATGGATTGGTCATCATTTACAGCCCTCCGTGGCCTTGGGGAAGCAACCCTGAGCCTCAGTGCCCTCCCTCTTAAAAGTGGGCTAATAGTACCGACAGATGACAAAGACTGTTTTGAGGTTAAATCATCTATGTAAGGTCACCTAGTCAAGGACCTGGCCCCAAACAAATGAACGTTATCCTTATTAGCGGTGTGTGAGGATCGACCACATAAAAGTGGCCAGCACTCAAAAACTGTTGGATAAATGTTGGTGGCTCTGAGCCTTTGCATTCTGTTCTCTCTGCTGTTCCCTGTCCTCCAGTGGCTCTAGCTCTCACCAGTTCCCACAGGCCTTCCCTGACTCTGAAGAACACCCATCACTGTCCTCTTTGCTTCCTTCTCACCGCCCTAGAAAAATTACCTAAACATGAACATAATATTCGCCATTCATTCATTCATTCCTCTCTCTCCACTCCTGAAATGTAAGCCCCTGGGGGCGGGGGGTGTATGCTTGTTTCCTACCTGCAGTATCCTGGGGCCTGGAACCCTGGCCTGTCACCTGACGGACCATTCATAAGGATCTGTTGGGTGAATAGCTGATTCCCAAGCAAAAATGGGGGCACGTGGGGGAAGTGGCGCCACCCGACGGGAGAGGTCGGGGATGCAGAAACCTACGGGGCCACAGGATGAACGAGTGAAGGAACCCCTACCCAGGCATCCGCGCGTCATGGCGCACACGGCCCCCCGCCGGGGGCGGGGGGGGGCCCAGCTTCCGGGCCGGGCAGGGGCGCGAGGTGCACGCAGCCAGCCCACCTAGCCCGGGGTGGACAGACGCCCCGCCCGAGCCCCGGGCTTTCCGCTTTTCCAAGCCTGTGTCCCCGCCCTGGGCGCCCGCCCCCGGTTGGGGAAGCCCAGGCCCCCGCGGCGGCAGCACGTGCTCCGCAGACGCCCGCCGCCCGGCGTGCAGCCGCTCCAGGCCGGCGCTCCTCCCGCGCCGGGGTTTCGCCGGGTGGGGCTCGGGGCGCGGGGTGGGCGGGGCCGGGCGCGGGCGGCTCTGGGACTTGTAGGCGGAGAGCCTCGGCTGCCGGCGCCCCGGGCAAAGGCACCGCCCACCCCGCCCAAGTCCGTCCTGGCCAGGGCTGGGGCAGCCTCCGAGAGGCCCTGTCTGCCACGGAGGGGGAAATTGAGGCCCAGCTTGCCCAAGATCACGCGGCCGGGTGATGGCCGCCTTCCCTGGCCTCTAGGAAACAAGTCTAGGCCACACTTTAATCAAAGTTTCCAAAGGGCTCTCTGAGGGCCCCTTGTCTGGTGGAGCGCTCTCCTCACCTCCGTTTCATCGTGCATTCACTCAACAAACATTTCCCGAGGGCCCTCTGCTTGCCAGGTCTTTCAGCCTGAGCAAAACATCCAAGGTCTCACCTAGCATAAGAGGGAGGCCGTACACGCACAGGTGAATGAACGGGGCTTCTGGAAACAGAAGTACTTCGGGAAGGCAATAAAAAAGCAGGATAAAGGGCAAGCAATGAGGCAAAGGCCTGGAAGGAGGCAGGAGGGTGGCTGAGGTGTTGGAGGAACATGAGGAACAGGACCGAGGTGGGACAGGGAACCGTGTCCCCCCGAGGCCCGCTGAAGATTGGGGGCTCCCCTCCCAGCGTCAAGGGGGCTAGGGCACAGAGCTGAGGGAAGGAAGGAGCGCAGGGTCAGGGGTCCAGGGACTTGAGACAGTCCGTCTGGGCCTGGAGTCAAACACAGCCAAGACAGAGAAGGTGCTGGATAAACCCCTGAGAGACTAGGGAACATGGCTGGCCGCGCCACTCCCAGGCCCACAGACCCCGGCCTGTGTCCCGCTGCCCCCGACGAGGCGGTAGGCTCGGCCTGAAGTGACCCCACTTAGAGCTGCAGTTCTCAAGTGTGTGCACAGCTGTGCCCGGACACGCCGAGGGTTCGAGGCCCCACAGCGGCGTTCTGCACTGCATGGAGGTGTGACCCACCAGTGGGGAATGCTGGTGCCCGGGCCAGCTTCAAGGGCCCCGAGCTCAGAAACGGCCCGCGCTAGGTTTAATGCTCTCCTGCTTGATGTGAAATTCCTAATAACTTTGAACAAGTTCTGTAGCCAGTCCTGCCTAATGTGGAGCTCACAGAGGCCCTGACATGGCCTGTTTCTGTGGCTGGGGACAGGGACAGAGGGACCGGACTGCCCTCAGCCTGCGTTTCCCCCCCCCCGCCAGGTCGCCCACACAGAGGGAGGAATCCCTGATATGGGGATGGGGGTTGGGGATGGACTTTTGACGAGGCCAGAACAACTCCCCCTGCCTAGTCACCTCCTCCGGGAAGCCTCTGGGACCACTCTGGACCCTCCTGGATCGCAGATCCCGGGTTTATACCCCTCCCGATTGTACACCGTATTTTTAACGTTGACCCGCCTTATTCATAGAACGCCGTGTATGTTCTGTGCATCCATGCAGCCCCCCATCCTGGAGTGCCTGTCACATGAGGGGCCCTGAAAAGGATTCGTCGAATGAATCATATTTGTATATAAAACAAAAATCATTTCACCTTTTAATACATGTTGCTGTATCTTACCTCGCCCTGAGATAAATGTTGGCTCAATAAACATGATGCTCACTCCCGGGCCTCCCTCTAATTCACTAGACCGTGCGCTCCGCGAGGGCAGGGGGCTGGAATCCGGCGGGCAGGCAGAGGGCCCCCGGGACCGCGGTACCCGCCCGCCGCGCGCCCGCCCCTGTCGTCTCCAGGGTGAGAGCCCCGACCCGCCCCAGGGCTTCCCCGGCCCGCGGGGTGCGGCGGGGCGGGGCCAGGACTACGCTTCCCGGCGGCCCCTGCGCGTCCGTGGCGGGGCGGGGCCGCGGCTGAGGGCGGGGCCGCGGCGGGCTGGGGGCGGGGCCGCTTACAAAGCCCGGGGGCGGGCGCCGGGGCGCAGAGTGCACGCAGCGCCGGCCCGAGCGCAGCGCAGCGCAGCGAGGCGCGCAGACCGCGAGCAGCCCGCGACTGGACGGGCCCGGCTGCTGGACCCGCGCCGCTGCTGCCCTGCTCGCTCCCCGCCGCCGCCCATGAGCGCTGCGCCGCGCGGCCCGGGTCTGTAGGCGGCGGGGCGCCCCCCCCATGCTGCTGCAGCCCGCGCCGTGCGCCCCGAGCGCGGGCTTCCCGCGGCCCCCGGCCGCCCCCGGCGCCATGCACGGCTCGCAGAAGGACACCACGTTCACCAAGATCTTCGTGGGCGGCCTGCCCTACCACACCACCGACGCCTCGCTCAGGAAGTACTTCGAGGGCTTCGGGGACATCGAGGAGGCCGTGGTCATCACCGACCGCCAGACGGGCAAGTCCCGCGGCTACGGCTTCGTAAGTGGCCCCGCGGCCGGGCGCGCACCCCGCCCCGCACTTATCGCGCCGGGGCCGCTGAGTCAACCGGCAGGAGCACGCCCAGCCGCCCCGGCACCTGCCGCCCCCTGCTGGGCTCGGGGGCGGGGGTTCACGCTCCAGCCGGTCGGGCCGCCGCTACCCGGCCCCGGCTCCCTGCCCCCACCCCCACCCCGCTCCCGGTTTAAAAGGGAGAACCGCTGAGTTCAATTAGCACTTCTGAGTTTGCAGAGAGGTTTTGGGGACAGTCGGCTGCGGCCAGGACTTCCTGGAGCAACAAGCAAGCAGGAGCGGAGGCTTCACCTCAGGGCGCTTTGGAGGCCTTTAGCACTCCCTCCCCTCCAGTATTTTACAAGAGATCACTTAATCGCCCCAAATAAACATCAGTTTAAGTGAAAAGCGTCTTGAAGAATTGTCTCCTACTTCCTTTCTAACTAGCGTCCCCCAGCCCCTCCCATGAGGAAATTCGCACCCCCCACTGGCTGGCAGGCAGGACCGGCTGGGGCCCCTGCCTTGCTTGGGGCGGGGGAGGGTGCCTTCTCTCCCCTGGGGATCCTTTCTGTCCTTGAAGGCTAGGTTTCCCAGCACATGAACTTGGAAGGAGGAGCTGAAATCCAGGGGCACCTCTGTGCTCGGGCCCCGGGGTGGGAGGTCGGTGGGGACTGGGCCAGAGGCTCTCTGAGTCACTGGCCCCGGTGGAGGGGCACGTGAGGGCCCCTTGCCAGAGCAGAGTCTTCTGCTCCTCCCACCCAGTAAGGGAAGCCCCTGATGAGTCTGTGCTCCTCCAGGTGACTATGGCTGACCGGGCGGCAGCTGAGAGAGCTTGCAAAGACCCTAACCCCAACATCGACGGCCGCAAGGCCAACGTGAACCTGGCATATCTGGGCGCCAAGCCGAGGAGCCTCCAGACGGGTGAGAGAGCCCGTGTTTTCCTTCCCAGGCTCGTCTGGATTGCTATATTCAGTGTTGGTGTCCGTGGGGTGGAAATGGCCCCCCCCTTCCCGGCCCTGCCCCAGGAGTGGCCGTCAGCTATCATGTGTCTGCAGAGCCGTCACAGGGCCGTCCCCCCCTAGCTTGGGAGCTGGACCCCTTGGTCTAGGCGCATGTACCAGTGGGCAGGGTGAGGAAGGCGCATCACCCAGTCGTCACCTGTCTTGGCGGCAAGGGGCAGTCACCTCCCGGGCTGGAGATCGGGAGGGCGGGCACCCAGGGGCTGCTGCAACCCTGCTCCCTTGGCTTTGCTTCGGCAACACGCATTCGGCTTGGTGGGACGGCGGCCTGGGAGTGCGGAGGAAGCCCCTTATCTGTGTTTTTTGGTGGGGGGCGGGGTGGGTGGGTGCTCCCTGGGGTGAGGCCGAGCCCCTAACTGCTGTCGCATTTTAGGCTTTGCCATCGGCGTGCAGCAGCTGCACCCCACCTTGATCCAGCGGACTTATGGGTGAGTGGATGTGGCTGCTGGGGGCAGGGTTCGGGGCGGGGGTGGGGGCGGCGGCAAACCAGCTGGAGCAGGCCATGGGCGCCCCTTGGTCCAAAGGAGTCTTTCACCCCAGGGCCACCAGCCCCACAGCATTGGTTATGCTGTTCACATCCACCTTTTCTTGTCTGAGGACCATCACTTTCTCTGGTCTTCCATAAACATGATGGTGTCCCAAGGGTGAGGAGGGCGGAGTAAGCCGGGAGAACTGAAAGAAGGCAGAGAACACTTCTGCACCCCCGACAGAGGCCACAGTGGTGGGCACGGGAGCCTGCCTGCCTGGTCTCAAATCCTGGCCTCCCCCTTACTAGGTGTGTGAGCTCTGGTGGTCTGCACGGCCATCTGTGCCTCAGTTTCCTCCCCTGGGAAACGGGGATGGTCACAGCATCTCCAAGTCCTGTGGGTGGAGGGCTCCGGGTGGGCCTGCTGGGGGCACGTGAGCGCTCTGGAAGTGAGGCCCACAGTCTGTGGGACTGGCGGCTGGGCTCTTCTCAGGGGGCCTGGTGACCCGCCCTGGTGCCTGACAGATGGTGGCAGCAGGCAGGTCCCTGCCACCCGGGGTCTGATGTGTAGGGGAGCTGCGGCAGGTGAGACCGGACCGGGGCCAGCTGTCCAGCCCGAGTGGGCCCGGCCTGTGGGCCTTTTGTCCGACGTGCTTTGGTGCGGCCCATCCCACTCTCCCCTCGCGTTTTTGTTTTGTATTGTTTTGTTTTTTTAACTTCTAATAAGTCTTGGCAGCTGCTTGCGGAAGGACACACACTTTAGGGGCACAAAGGAGCCTGCCATGCGGTGTGACTTCCAGCCCCGTGATTGATGTCGGCTGTGCGCCCCAGTGCCGGGAGCAGGTTGATGGGGGTGGCGAGGGCCGTTATCAGACAGGCGGCCCCTTGTAGGACATTAGCACTCTGTAAGCTGTCAGAGGCCAAATCCTGGGCTTAGGTTTTGTGCTTCAAGTTGTGTGAGCGTGTGTCTGCCTCTGCCCTAGACAGAGGCCCAGCTCAGGAGCAGCCTGGCTCCCTAGCAGGGGTGGGAGCGAGGTTCGGGTGGACTGCGAGGGTCAAACAGATGGCCGAGGAGTTGCTTCACGCCTCTGATTTGGGGGTGCTTGCCCAGACAGGCAGCATCTGTGTCTGCCTGGTGGCCTTGGCGTGGATCGGCGTGTGTGGGAGCTCAGCTCTTGGTCTATTCTCCCGGGAGGGAGTCTGGGGGCGGCTGGGAGCAGGTGGTTCTGGGTTTCCTTCTCGCCCTGGAATCTGCTTCATCAGTGTCTGGAGCCGTCTTGGAAGGTATCTGGGGACACCCCATCACCCTAGGTCCTTCCTTTTTGGCGTTCAGGTCACACGGGGAGGGCGCTTCTCATTTTCCATAGCCTTGGCTCTGTTCCCCACGTCCATCCCAGGCAGCTGGGACCGGGGCCGGGGCCGGAGGGCGGGGGCCAGCTGCACAAAGCTCAGGGCACGAGCCTGGGCACCTGCAGCTCTGTCCTGCTTCAAATGCAGCAGTGCCTTCCCCTCCCAAGTTTGAGCTCTTTTTTGATCTACTGTAGCTGCCTCTAAGGCTCCAGTAATTGTCAGGACTCAGCCTCTGGAGCCTGCAGACGTGGGTTCGAATCCCGGCTCTGGCACGGTCCAGCTGGGCCCATTTGGCAGGTGACCTCTTCCTGAGCACCCAGGTGCCTCGTCTGTTGTTTCCCGATGGAAATGTTAAGCGCGTCCTACAGTGCCAGCCACCTAGGCCTGGGGGCTCCGCACCCCTGTGCGTGCCCCCCCCCCGTTCCCTCCTGTCCTCACAACAGCCCTCTGAGGTCAGAACCAATGTTATCCTCACTTCCTAGATGAGGAAACTGAGGCAAACAGAGGTTCATAGTCTGCCACGGTGACCTGAGTGATGCAATCTGAAACCAGGGTGGCTCGCTCCGAACCCGCACTCCACCACCGCTCTCTGGGGTGGGCGGGTGGGCAGGGTGCCCCAGCCTTTCCCCTCAGGGCCCCTTGAGTGCCACCCACACGAGGGTAGTGGGGGTTCAACACAGACTTTACTGCTGTGCGTTCCTGACTTCAGGTGACAGTGTTTTGTAACTGAATCTCCGGCTGGCATCTAACACCCGTGACGATGAAGAGGCCGCCAGGTCTATTTGTTGGTTACCAAGGGGCGGAGACCCAAACAGGGACAAGGGGTCAGAGGGACTGTCCAGCTCGTTTCCAGGGGCCAGTGGACTGAAGCCTCTCAGGGTCACGCCGCCTCCCACCAGGCCTTGCTGGGCTCCAGGGTGGCGGGAGGGGCCCCTGGAGGTGCTGCCCCCAGAGAGGTGGGGCGGGGCTGCCCCGGGTCAGCTGCCCGCCACCCAGTGCTCCTCAGTTGGGAGAGTTGGGCCGTCAGCGTCCCTTTTGTCTTTTGTCTTTGCGATCGAGAACAATCGGGCGGGAGCGCGGCTGGCCTGACTCAGCAGTCGGCGTTGTGAGCTGCGGGCTGGCAGCGAGGCCTGGCCTGCTCCTGGCCAGGGCACAGTGGGAGCCAGGCAGCTCGGGCTTTTGAAACCCGTTAACCCCTCTCCTGCCTGGCCGAACTTCCCGCAGACTTCCTGGCTCCAATCCTATGCCTTGGACGGTTGCAGAGATTCCACAGCCCCACTTCTGGGCAAGGCCACGGCAGAAGCCTCGCCTGCTGGGCCGTAAACTTATGAGCGCGGAAGATTCTCCTGAGAACTTTTTACATGTTCGGCTTTTTGCTCAGATTCTCCTGCCCTCCGTTTTTTAAAGCGGAATGGGGTCTTTCAGGACCTAACTGGGGCTCTGTGTCCTGTAACTGTACGTGGGGCCAAGAGGCCTGAGGTTTGGAGGGTTCTTCCTTGACAGGTGACAAGTGACTTAATCACAGGAGGACGCGACTAAGGCTATAGGCCATCCAGCCCAGCGTCTTTTGGCTGCCCGGGAGGCATAGTCCACAGCCTGCAGGCAGGAGAGTTCAGAGCCGTTTGGGGAGGGCACAATGTCGGGGCAGAGCTTTGGGTCTGCCCTGGAAGGGACCTCATGTCACAGGGTGTGTGTCCAGGCCGGGGCCCGAGGCCTGCCGGGATCGGAGGTTTGTCCTGGGCCTGCCTGTACTTGGAGCCTCTCCTTGGGTTATTTTTGAAGGGCCAGCTGCTTCTCTGGGCACAGCCCTCGCCCCCGTTCTCCTGTTCTTAAGGGGGCCTTGCTGTGACCTGCATGCCACTTCACCACAAGCTCAGCTCTGTGCCGGGGGGTGGGGGCAGGGGGGCAGGCCCCAGGTTGCAGACAGCAGGGTCGCCGTGTGCTGGAGCAGGGATCCCAGGGTCTGCCCGGGCTCGTCTCCCTGTCCGTGTGGTGGGGCCCAGGACGCTGCTGCCACACAGGAAGACGGGGGATTTGTCAGGGACCCATCTCGCGGCAGCACCCTGACAAGGCCTGTGGCCCCAGCTGCCTATGGAGGCGCTGGATAAGATGGGTGAGGAGAACCTTGCCTGAGCTCCCACTGCGTGGGGCTGGGTGGCTCCAACGCCCTCCTTCCTTCCATGAGGCCCCTACACCTCCCTCTGACCAGCTCTTAGACAAATCAGAACCAGACACCCCGGGATTGACGACTTGATGCCACAGAATCCTTTTCAGGCGGTTTGTGCCCTGTACTTTCAGGGGCTCCGACCCCCCCCCCCCGTGAGGCCCCCACTGCCCTTGCCATCACTAGGCCACAGGCGTGTGCACGCTGAGGGGTCTGAGCCCAGTCCCTGGGTCACCAGGGGGGGAGGGGAACTGGGAAGGGACAGGAGGATGTCCATGTCCCCAGAAGTGTGGAGCACACAGGGCTCAGAGTCCTTCATGCATTCATCAAGGCTTTGATGTGCTGGATGCCAGGCTCTGGGCCCAGGATACTTTACAGAAGAAAGACACGGTCAGTTCCCCATCTCAGGGTGCTCGCTTTCCAGTGAGGAAGCCAGACCATTAAAAACTCTTCTGTGCACGTGAAGGTCCCGAGGTGGTGTTGGGCGGAGTGACGGGGCGGCCAGCCAGGGGGACTTCCTCGTGGGGAACGGTTCTGCGTGGTGCTTGTCATGGTGGGCGGGCCCTCTGTGCTGGTGATAGAGTGTCCTAGAAGGACACGCCAAGAAATGCCGACATCTGACCAGGGCCTCCAGCCTGGCTAAGAGCCACGAGCTGGCATCAGGCTCCTGGTTTTGGTAACGCGCTGGGTGGTGTAGACGTCACCACCGGGGGGACACTGGAGGAGGGCACACAGGATCTCCCTGTAACTTCTTGGGGTTCTACCATTATTTCATAATCCAAACTAAATAAAGGCCCGGGGCTCGGGGGTGAATGGCAGAGCCCTGCAGGGGGGTTGGAAGGGGGGAGGGTCAGCATCTTGAGGGGCGCAGCAGGAAGTGAGGTCAGAACCGGAGGCCCTGGGGGCTGGGAGGAAGCTGGTGCCTGCTGTGGCGTCACCTGGCTTGTTTTTACTTTCAGGGTGCCTGGGGTGGCCCTGCTCCGCACACCATGGCTTCCTGTTTGGCACCCACTGGAGCGAGGCGTGGGCCGGCGCGTGGCCCTCCCCCGTGGGCCGCCCGTGCACACCTGTTGTTTGTCCGCGGTGGCTGTAACAGAAACCAGCCCCCGGGTGGCTCTGGGGTTCCTTTGGAGGATGAGCTCCTCGCTCCGGCCCACTGCCCTGGCAGGAAGGGCCTTCTGCTGAGGCCTGGAGAGCCCCGTCCAGAAGCTTCGGGCCAAGGCACAGCGGCCAGCCGGGGCACAGACAGAGGCTCTCCGGTGTCCGAAGCACCGCGTGGGTGCCCTGGGGCGGGGGGGAGGGGCAGGGGAGGGGTTCCCGGGCTTCCTGCTGCGGGAACATGGGCTGGCTGGGGAGGCTGGAGGCCCTTTACACGATTCCTGTGTTGTGCTGCCTTGTGGCCGTGACTTTTCCTCTTAGAGCCTCAGCTTCCCCGCCTTCTGTGTGGA